AAAGGGAGACAGAGGAGAAAGGAAAATAAAAGATCAGCACAACAGAGATGCAGAAGCTTACACTGCCCAAAAGGCATTAAAACCTTGCTAGTAATCTCACCATAAAATGAAACATGCTGGAATACACAGCGCTCCACCCCCCCCAACACACACTTATTACCTTGAAATAGTAACTAGGAACATCCCTAGCGAGTGCTACGCTAGGTCCTTCCAGAAGGGCCAAGCTGTCTTGCATCAGATGTTTAAAAGGAAACACTGTACAGCAGAGGTAAGTCATGACAATCTGATCAGTGCACAGGGCAACAGACTGCCTACCCACTCGGACAATACGTTTGGCGCTCAGAGGGAGGCGAACACTTCGGGAAATACCTGCTCACCTGTTCTTCCTGACAATGTGGGGGGGAGGTGAGGGGGCAGCAAGGGGGCGAAAGGTTAAAACATTTAGAACCTAGTCTATTTTAAAACAATAGCATGCATTACAGGTTTCCAGGGAAACCTGTGCTGTTCCCTTTGTTAGAAACTGGCTTACTGTCAGTTACTGCAGTTATCTCTACTCTCTGAATTAAATTTGGGCTACTATAGCACACTAATAGTTCTGAAGTGGGATCTCCCCATATGCAAAAGACTTCAGGAAAGAGTCACTGGGGAGCTGACTAGTGGTTATATTTAAGATTTAAAAAAATAAACCAGCAGTCCATTCATTAGGGTTTTCTGGTTAGGTACAAATGGAAAAAAGCTATACTGTCTATGTATACCATCAGCAAGTCTGGGTTTCAGAGTAGAGGAAGAGATGAAAAAACTGTTTTCTTAGCAGTTGGGCACCTATTGGTAACAAACCCTTGTCCCTGCTTTACTCTGACATCCCACAGGAAGTGGAAAGCACATGTTTAGGTAGTGTAAGCCTTTTTCCTTTTATTTAGAATACCCTCGTTGTTTAAACAATATTCCCGCCCCCGATACAAAGTTCGGCCAATAAAGGTTACATGGAAACTGGAACACGCATCGTATGGAATACAAGATGCACCGGATGAGGAAGTTTAAAAACTTTCCGAGCGAAAAGTAGAACAAAGAAAAAGTCTCCTAGCATTTTCCCAAAGGTTTCACTCTCCTGTCACACACACTCTCCATATGACAGCTACCAAGTTCAGCTCTGTAAGAGAAAACAGAGCCACATCAATCAAGGGGAAAAGGAGATTAACCACAGCCCGCGCTGTACCTTGGCTAAGACGACAGAAGTGGCAGAGTGGCTGTGTGCTCAGTTCCTTGCATCCACTCACCTATGTTAGCTTCTTGGCTTTGTTGTAGAGTGAATCCACTACTTTGCTCATATTCTGAATAGTCTCAAGGGCAGCTTCATAAGTTTTGTCTACTGGTGGCTCATCAAAGATAATCAGGACTCCCTCTCCTTGGTCAAGAATCCCTGCAAATGCAAAGCTCTGATTATGCAGTGCTCATGTTCACAGATTTCACAGGACCTTTTCTGAATCCCTGCCATTACCTTAGGTCAAAGCGTGGAATTCTCTGCCATTGGCACCTATCTCGGCTCATGTTGCCAACAAAACACCTTGCCCTGCCCTCTCCACAGGTGTTTGTGACAACTGTTCCTCTAACACTTGTCTCCTATGATTCTTAGTTTAAAAAAAGGTGGCTTTAAAAAGACAAAAAGGCCAGATTCAGAAAGGTATTTAAGCACTTAAACTCCCACTGATTTCAGCAGGGAATCATTTTTCTTTTGGATCTGGCCCCAAGTCCTTTGATGGAAGGCAGAGAAGTAATCTGATTTAAAAAAAAATAAATCCCAGATCTGGCCAGACATGCTAGAGAAAAAATTCTGCCTCTTACAGTGAGCAGGGTAGGGAGGAGTGAGGGAGAAGATAATAATCATGATGGCCTCTGACTTGCTCACCCGCATCACCTCACCAGCAAATGAACAATCTTTGTAAGACTTTTCAGATATTGCAGGGATATGTTACTGGTAGGGGTGCACTGACAGAGATTTTGGGGGAGGCATATCAGCTGATACCAATCCAATACAGCTGCCTCCAGCTGGTAAGCCCGGTGCGGTGGAAGGGGAGGGGGGAGGGAAGGGGCATGGGGGTGTAGCTCTGACTGCTGCTTGCACCCCAGGAGGGCAGTGGGGTATATGGCCCCAGGAGGGCAGTGGGGTGTGTGACTCTTCTCGGCATGGGGTGGGCTCGGAGCAGGTGCTGGCAGCGTTGGGAGGGGAGCTGGCGATGCTGGGAGGGGATGCAGCCACCCCAAATTTCACTGCTGCTCTGCTCCCAACCCTGCACCGACAGGCGCAGCCCAACTCCATGTCCTGCTTCCATCCACGTGCTGGGAAGAGCTGAGGCTGTGCTGGGTAGCTGGTGGCAGAACTGGCACTGGGAGCAGAGCTGTAGTGAAATTTAGGGTGGCTGCATCCCCTCCCAGTATCGCCAGCTCCCACTCCCAGGCTCTTCTCAGGGAGGAGCAGGGTGTGTGCGCAGTGGGCGTGCGTGCCAGCAGCACTGAGAGGATGCTGCATCCATCCCAAATTTTGCTGCTGCTCCGCTCTCAGCGCCACTGCTGCCGCCAGCCG